CAATCGGAAACCGTCGGCACTTTGGGAGCAATCGGGAACCGTCGGCACTTTCCAAAAACGACTTAGGGAAAGTGCCGACGGTTCCCGATTGGGTAAAAACTGGGATCATTAAGAAATATTTCTTGATAGTGACAGTGGTAATACATGTTATATGTTTTAATTTATAGTCCTTTTTACCTTAAGTCTCTTTTTATAGTAAACCGTAAGTTTAACGCTGAGAATTAGACTTAACACTTCTGATTAACATACTACAGTTACTGAGTCAGAGACCAACACAGGGCACGGTCCCTGATATTGTCTTCCTTTGTAACTTGAGTTTCAATGGTACACATCAAAACAGTTCACGTAGTGTATACATAATCAATTATGGCAACCATCCCAAATCGACTTCAATGTATTACGTGGCAATGGACAAAATATTCTTAACCCAAACCTGGTGAGAAATCGTGCTAGAGGTGAACAATCGTGACGTAACACCCTTTGAAATTATTCTTTCAACCTTCTGGTCCCCGTTTTCAGCATTCCGTCCAAGACTACTTGTTCGGAACAGCAAAAGGTATTGACTAAATTTCGTACGGATCATTCCAAGGCTAATGTGGACTGAAGGTTTGACTATCTATCACTACGGATTGCGTCTGTATGGATAAGAGGTCCGTAGTCCACTGCATGATAGTACCTCTCACTCAATAGTACAATTTGTTTAATAATCTGATACGGGGAATTTTTTGGGAACAAGAATATGTCGGTTTGCTATCCAATATCGTATGAAATTTGGTATCACATGAATGCTCCCTTCTGACTTGGTTCTTGTCCCTGTGCTTGATAACCCTACTGCCAATGATGCTCCATGACGTTGCATGCTGTTGACGTAAGCGAGATTAGTCTAAAGTTGACATGTTTTTCTCAATTGGATAGAGACCTCTTGACTTTCTTTCAGTCATCCGACACTTTTTCCTTTTCTGTTCACAGCTAGAAGGTCCTGATGAAATATGGAATAATCTTTAGTGCTGTCTTTTTTAGAACGATATCTGGTGCGCCATCAGAAAGTGTAGACTGAAAGGAGGAGTTCCTTCAAACAGCTGTTGGATTCCGGCGGTACTGATTTCAGTTATGCGGATGACAAGGTAAGTGTTTTTTCCTGGTGTATACTGACTGTAATAGTTTGTTAAGTAGATCATTCCATTCAGCACGCTCTGTTTTATTCTGTAGCCTTCAGTCGTTTGAACCACTGAGTTTGCAGTCAGTTTCTAACACACTAAGCCTGTGTGTAGGCACCTCCGTGTTTGTCAAACAGAACTGACGGCCTCTCACTTGGTGCTGACTCGGTCTCGTAATGTGTGAAGTTGTGAGTACCGGGTATAGCTTTACGTCCGAAATCGGACATGATGGCTGTGTAGTCTGCACATGTTAGGGTAAATGTGTCAGAGCACGGAAGTGGATTCTTACAAAAAAAACACCCCAGAATACTTTTATGCGGTCTCTTGTGTAGTAGTATTGACGGTTTCATTACCTGTAATGTACATGTACCTTGCCTCTCCACTGCTTCTGATAGGCTGTTGTTGTTCTTTGTTTCTGATCTGCTGTTGTTTTACTTTGTTCTGATAGGCTGTTGTTTTACTTTGTTTTGATAGGCTGTTGTTCTTTGTTCTGATAGGCTGTTGTTGTGCTTTGTTCTGATAGGCTGTTGTACTTTGTTCTGATAGGCTGTTGTTGTACTTTGTTCTGATAGGCTGTTGTTCTTTGTTCTGATAGGCTGTTGTTCTTTGTTCTGATAGGCTGTTGTTGTACTTTGTTCTGATAGGCTGTTGTTGTTCTTTGTTTCTGATCTGCTGTTGTTTTACTTTGTTCTGATAGGCTGTTGTTTTACTTTGTTTTGATAGGCTGTTGTTCTTTGTTCTGATAGGCTGTTGTTGTGCTTTGTTCTGATAGGCTGTTGTTGTTCTTTGTTCTGATAGGCTGTTGTACTTTGTTCTGATAGGCTGTTGTTGTACTTTGTTCTGATAGGCTGTTGTTCTTCTTTGTTTCTGATCTGCTGTTGTTTTACTTTGTTCTGATAGGCTGTTGTTTTACTTTGTTTTGATAGGCTGTTGTTCTTTGTTCTGATAGGCTGTTGTTGTGCTTTGTTCTGATAGGCTGTTGTTGTTCTTTGTTCTGATAGGCTGTTGTACTTTGTTCTGATAGGCTGTTGTTGTACTTTGTTCTGATAGGCTGTTGTTCTTCTTTGTTTCTGATCTGCTGTTGTTTTACTTTGTTCTGATAGGCTGTTGTTTTACTTTGTTTTGATAGGCTGTTGTTCTTTGTTCTGATAGGCTGTTGTTGTGCTTTGTTCTGATAGGCTGTTGTTGTTCTTTGTTCTGATAGGCTGTTGTACTTTGTTCTGATAGGCTGTTGTTGTACTTTGTTCTGATAGGCTGTTGTTCTTTGTTCTGATAGGCTGTTGTTCTTTGTTCTGATAGGCTGTTGTTGTGCTTTGTTCTGATAGGCTGTTGTACTTTGTTCTGATAGGCTGTTGTTGTACTTTGTTCTGATAGGCTGTTGTTCTTTGTTCTGATAGGCTGTTGTTTTTTGTTCTGATAGGCTGTTGTTGTACTTGGTTCTGATAGGCTGTTGTTGTAGTTTGTTCTGATAGGCTGTTGTTGTACTTTGTTCTGATAGGCTGTTGTTGTACCTTGTTCTGATAGTCATACCGGCGTACATGTACAACTTATTGAAGATTCCCTTTTTTATGAAAAAAACATTGACATGCTTTACTGATTAACATCTCATTGATCTATTATTGCTTTTACCAGTATGACCATGTTAGTTATCACCTACAATACGGCATATGTAAACACGGTAGTAATCATGGTCTACTTAGATAGCCATTGCCGTGTACATTGACTGTTCAGATCGAGATAAATAACCTACCCATGGTTTATCGCTGTCAGTTAAGTGTCTTCATGATCAAGATTGATAAACAGCATTCATATCAAAACGTTATATTAGAATAAACTCTAATTTAAAAAGGATTTCAATCTTATAGTCTTTTCATAACTAATTCAAACGTTGCTCAAACGCATTTCCTTCGTCAGTTTATCTTACCTCTGAGAAATTTTGTTTGGTGTAAAATATACACACAAGTTCATAATAGTTTATATATATTACAGAAAACGCATTCCCTTATTTTTCTTCAATATATCGTCATCGTAAAGGATATCCTCTATGACAGGGGCACAATATCTTTCTCCCGGTACAAGTATCTCTGTCTATAGATGGATTTATCAGACAAGATGTTTTATCGACATATACTCGTTCGCAATTAGTTTTAAATAAAACAGAAACTGTATCACAGGGTCACAGCACATGGAAAACACGAGTAGAGTCTAGACGAAAATAAACAAGCCATTCGGATTGATATGTCTTACCTATGCCCCGCTTTGACAATCAATACACATATCATAGAAACTAAGTTAAATGCAAAAACTTAATGTTGATGGAGATGCTGACAAAGTCAATGGACCATGAAAGGCCGCATCCAGCATTTAATGTTGCATCTATGGTCCAAGTTTGGTTGGTGTAGCATTTATACTTTAAGAGAAACCAACATAAACGCAAAACCTTAATGTTGATGGAGATGCTGACAAAGTCAATGGACCATGAAAGGTAGGCCGCATCCAGCATTTGATGCATAGGTTGGGATGAACTACCCAAGATACATGAATGGTCCAAGTTTGGTTGGTGTAGCTCTTCATCTTTTAGAGAAACTAACTTAGACTCTGACAGTCAAACTTAAACGCAAAACCTTAATGTTGAGGGAGATGCTGACAAAGTCAATGAACCACGATAACTATGCTTCATCATGCATGGGTTGAGATGTGCTACCTACGATGCATCTATGGTCCAAGTTTGGTTGTTGTGGCACTTATACTTTCAGAGAAACTAACTTAAACACAAAAACTTAATGTTGATGCCGCCGTCGCCGGAAAAACAACACCTATGTCTCGCTTCCACTTCGTCGCGGCGAGACAATAAAAACCAAAGGAACACAATTATAAATAGGGAAATAAATCATCAACTGAAGGTACAACAAGGCACTCCAGAACAGTAAGCGTCCCCCACCCCCTCTCCCCATTTACATATTGTAATCTAGTCTTGAACAAAGCTATCTAAGGCAAAGCTGCTGGAGCATGTTCATTGCTATAGTAACCACTCTTCCCCCTGTATACAGGTCGGAAAAGGGACGGTTGCTTACACAAGGTGATAAGGTGTATGTCACCGATGTGTTAACATTGACAACTGTGTGGAATATCTCTCAGTGTAGGTCGAGGTAGGAACAGATACTTTATCATTAGTATGAAGATAGGTTTTAGTATGTTTGAAAGGACACCATATAAAAAAATTGTCTTTTCCAAGATATCAACATTTTCTCATCCTTTTGAAGCAGTAAACAATATATCAACACTATTAAGAGGCCACTTTCGAGCAGTCATTTTGGTACTCAGTTCATAGCCATTTGTATTTCCTGCTCACTTCATTATCAAAATGTTCGGAATAATTATATGGGAAAACGTTAGAAGAAAATATATTCAACTTGATCTTATCACTTAAGCAGAAGTTTTAACACTACCTATTCATTTGCTCCTATATTACACAAACAGGTATATATGAAAGCTTTAGTTTTAAGTATCTTTTTATACGTTGGAGAATGCCAACATTTTGAAACGTTGGGTATGCGTCCAGACTTATTAAATGGGCGAAGTGTGCTTCCGTTAATAAGTTTTCATTCCCAATGTGTCTCGTACCTACGACATGGGAAACAATTTCTTTCATTTCTCTATCTCGTACTTCTACCTAGGCAATCTAACCCAAAACCTAGTTATGCTTCTTTTCTATCTCGTATGTCTTCCAAGATACACCAAAATCCAGTACATTTGTTCTGTATGACGATGATTAACTCCATATTTCACTATCTTTGAGAATCGATAAACTAAACAAAAAAGAATAAAAACGTAATTGCGATAAATCGTTCAGAGAGTTCCTTATATTATTCAATGAAACACAATACAGACTAATCCCTGAATTCAAGTCTGGTAACGCACACACATGATTACCTCTCCGTAGGTATTTGAACACAAATTTATTTATCTATTTTATACAATGTTTAATTCAGTCGTGCTTACTGAAATTTGATATAAAACAGCAGTTAAAACTGTCTATATATACATACACCTACAAAGGGAGATAACTATGTCCCATTTCTACACTAATCACTGGTTGTATTGACATATGTAAGCCTGGTTATAGGTAACGGCTTCACAATCGTAGTCATACCACATCCCATCATCTACGTTAATCATGGCACAGTTCGCGTTCGTGGCGTTGTGAGACGGACCCTCTCCGGGCTTCCAGTGGCCATACTTAACAGGAGAGCCTGAAACAGCATTTATTAGCTCGTACATTTTGCATTCAAGTCAGAGAAAATTCTTAAGCTTTATTTCAAGCATATTTCCTCTGAATAATCATATTTCTGACGTATTACTGTACTTTAGAGAATTGTTTCTGCACGATTGTTGTAGCCACTCCAAAAAAAGTGTTTTCGTTTTAATTGTAAAGAAATCTTGCGATGGATCTCGAAGTTCTGTCTGTCTGAAATAAATAAACTCAATACTTTTCTGAACTATATATTGTTAATTCTGATCAACTGTAACAAACTTAATTGAAAAATAGTGTAATTATTACTTCATCACACACCAGTCATAACGTGACAGACCTTATGCAGTAAAACATCCTTCCGTTGGGAAGTCGAGAATAACGAAAATAAGCGTATATATCTAAGCGGACTCATATCTTAGAGCAAACCAATTATCTCGTCGACATTTAGCTAATGCAAAATAAATATAACTTTGAAATGTAACTTTGAAATATTATCCTAACAATATCATCAACATCCAAGCAGAGTCACACAGAAACATTATCGAATCTTAGACTGTACTTTTATAAAATAGAATGAATCCAGACAACTTTCTACTACTAATCGATCTATGGGCCTCCTCTACTTATTATGTTATATTGTGTACAGGCAGTGGATAACTTTATCATAACATTAATTTATTAAAGTATTTCTAGAAAATAAGATATGGAAAAAGTTACTTATTTGGAACATAAAGTTTCAGCTTGTGTTAAGAATTTATTGTAAAATGTGACCAAAACGGACTATATTAAAGACTTCTTTTGACAAAACATAATTGTCTTTAAAACTGGACAAATAAATGACAAATATGCATGTGAAGTAGGCGGACTATAAAGAATTTCAATAAAACTAAGAAAAAATAAGAACGAGTGAGGCAGCACATCCTTTAATAACGACTGCTTACAAATAATAAAAACAAAGGTTTGTGTCTCATAACTAACCACGTTAACAATGATAAAACAGAATATATTAATTATAAGCAATCTTCAGGTGTTTTTTTTTTATTTGTAAGTATTATGAGTTTAAAAGGTAAGACAACCGTTGTGTCAGGATATAGTTACCGTCACTCCATTTCCAGTGTCCCTCACTTCCACGGTCTGTTGCCCCTATCCACGCTCCCGAGTCACTCCAATGTAGGGACCTCAGGCTCTGGTAGACGAAGTCCTGTTCGTGCTGACCGTGTATCTGTAGTAACGACCCTCCCTGGCTAACACACTCAGCGTTAGCGTCATTCCAAGACTTGTTGTGTGTAACAAACCGGAGACAGGAGCCTCTGTAGTATTTTACGAGGGAAGCGACCGGATGGAATGATGAACAGGGTTCTAAAGAAAAGTAAACAGGTGGTTTATTGTGTTTCGTCTGAATAGAATAAGGAAATGATATAAGGCGCAAACGAAGAATTTAAAGAACAGCGTCAAACAGCGTTACTGCCAGGCGGTTATTCTCTGCCTATTCTCTGATAGCANTATATATTATATAAAGAAAAATTCTTAACAACGAGTCTTTAGTACTATCATCTCTTCTAGGAGATTCTTCATCAAATATTAATATGACATGCGACGTTGTTATAAATAAGAATGGACGTAATGAAGAAAAATGAAATGCAAGGCGGTGATAATAATAGGGAATACTGCTTTTGAAGGATATCATCATATGATATAAAGCAAGGTTAAATATAATTTTAAAAGGTTGTTGTCGATGTACTTTTAGTTGTTATTGGCTTAGTAGTTGTGGTCGGCGTGGTTGTTGTTGTGGTGGGCGTAGTTGTTGTTGTGGTCGGCGTGGTTGTTGTTGTGGTCGGCGTGGTTGTTGTTGTGGTCGGCGTGGTTGTTGTTGTGGTCGGCGTGGTTGTTGTTGTGGTTGTTGTTGTTGTTGTTGTTGTTACAGGATGATGCACCTTCTCTGTAATATAAATACGTTTAAGTAAGCGACGGAGAGGCAGAAGTAAGGTAGTTCATCTCGTACGATAATTGGTGGTCATTTACAAGGACATAAAATACCAAAATAGACCATGTGTGCTTTCGGATTATGACCATTTATGTCACAATTTATTTGAAAATCTGGAAACATAAACCCTACATAAACACGAAGATGCTGTCGTCTATATCACCCTTTCCGCAGACGGAAGTCAGAATAAGATGCAGAGTAAAGGCTGTAGCGTACCAATGTTAATAGTACGACATGCTTCGGTTTCATTCAAACCGACAACATCAAGCGTTAGTGCAAACAAGATTTCTACTTTCAGTGTTCCAAAATGATCACAAACATATTAGTTTACAACATAGATATTATTAATTTTTTTTGTGAAAGTATAATCTATGTCGTTAGATATTGACATATGGACAAAGCAATTGTACTTTTAGGAACACATGAATTAAAACAATTCTTCTTAATTAAGTCATTGAAACAGTTAATGTAGGTCAAATTCAGCATCCGAAACATGCGTATATTAGATCAACCCCAGCTACTTTTTGTAGCAAGTACTATCCATGTAGCACTATAGTTACCTACAAATTGACTAACAAATTGTCTAAGTGAGCAAGGACGTACGGAGCCCATTTCTGTAATATTTTGGGGGACACGATATTTATTATACTGATGTTAAAATGATGGAACAAAGACTTAGATACAAACATTTTTTGGTATTGATAATGTTAAAGAATAAAAATCTGTATTAAAAGTACCGACTGAGTTTGACAAAAGACCGAATACACCACAATAGCCTAAATGCATAAAGGATAGTAACTGAACTCACAGACGGATGTTTGGAGAAACAGAATACCCCACAATGGTTTAGATATATAAAGGATAGTTACTGAACTCACAGACGGGTGTTTGGAGAAACAGAATACCCCACAATAGCCTTAATGCATAAAGGATAGTAACTGAACTCACAGACGGATGTTTGGAGAAACAGAATACCCCACAATGGTTTAGATACATAAAGGATAGTTACTGAACTCACAGACGGATGTTTGGAGAAACAGAATATCTCCAAAAAGGTCTAGATATATAAAGGGTAGTTACTGAAATCACAGACGGATGTTTGGAGAAACAGAATATCCCCACAATGGTTTAGATACATAAAGGATTGTTACTGAACTCACAGACGGATGTTTGGAGAAACAGAATATCCCACAATGGTTTAGATACATACAGGGTAGTTACAGCACTCACAGACGGATGTTTGGAGAAACAGAATATCCCCACAATGGTTTAGATACATAAAGGATAGTTACTGAACTCACAGACGGATGTTTGGAGAAACAGAGTATCCCCACAATGGTTTAGATACATAAAGGATAGTAACTGAAATCACAGACGGATGTTTGGAGAAACAGAATATCCCCAAAAAGGTCTAGATATATAAAGGGTAGTTACTGAAATCACAGACGGATGTTTGGAGAAACAGAATATCCCCACAATGGTTTAGATACATAAAGGATTGTTACTGAACTCACAGACGGATGTTTGGAGAAACAGAATATCCCCACAATGGTCTAGATACATAAAGCGTAGTTACTGAAACTCACAGACTGATATTTGGAGAAACAGAATATCCCCAAAAAGGTCAGATATATAAAGGGTAGTTACTGAAACTCACAGACTGATGTCTGGAGAGACAGAATACCCCCACAATGGTCTTGATCTGTAAAGAGTAGTTACTGAACTCTGAGACGGATGTTGTCAGAAACAGAATACCCCACAATTGTACAGGTCTGTACAATGTTCTGAATTCACAAACAGAGTATTGGATAGCATAATCCTACACTGTAATCAAGCTCTATTATGCATGGTACTTACTGACTTCACAGACGGATGTTTCGAGAAACACAATACCTCCACAGTCAAAGTCGTGCCATCTCCCACCGTCATCCAATTTCATAATGGCACAATCCTCGTAGCCAGCATTAAAGAGGAAGCCGCTGTGGGTCGGTCCCTCACCTGGATGCCAGTGAGCGTAGGACAGTTTTGTACCTGTATCAGATACAGGACATCAATGACACAATTAAAACAACAACATACACTGGTTTCACTAACACACTAGAGTATTTCAATAGGAGATATGTTATATGTTATGTATGCATTACATGTATTTCAGTCTTTCCCACTTAAGTATCCATGTTCCACTGCCAAAACCTTAACTATGCATAGAAACATTTCATCCGGCATGACTATAGTTTTCATTTATCAGGAAAAAAACACACCAAAAAACCCCACTTTTATGAAATTGTACGTAGATGAATTAAACGAAATATAATTAATCTTAGGAAAATCGGAAATGATCTGGCACAATTGTGGTTAAGTTAAATCCAGTACAAAATTGAGGGTTACAGTTGATACAAAAAACTACAGTTGAATCTCTAGTGTTTTCTGCAATTGATTTACCAACTTTCCCGAGAATCTGTCTACAAATTATCATGCCATTTCAAAATATCAGTCCTTGCTTATTTTGGCCTAAAATGACCAATATTGACAAAGGGCGTAAAGTAATACGACTTCCTCGTGTTTCTAATTCAAAAAAGGAAAACAACTCCCAGTGAAAAGTCAACATATACAGTGGCATATATATGTGTACGAATCTTTGAATTGAATTATATTGAAGTACAGGGAACTTGGACTAAATTTAAAAAATCGTATTTTCGTTAGAACTCGGCACATGGAGCTAAAATATAGGTAATTGCAAGAAAAACACTTTTAATGAATGCAATCCATCAAACAGTAAAAGTTCACACACGAAACCAGTAAGCACAAAAGAGTAATATTGCGTATTTACTGTTGGACATACATAAATCAAAAACTTTATCCTACGTTCTGCATACACTCTCATCCAATATCTTATCAGATATGTGCATGTCAATGTCAGTTCAATGACACCACAATATAAATGGTGTCAAATGTATTGTTACGCCACTGACTTTGAAATGCACAACATGGCATTTTGCCAGCATGTTATACAGTTCTGGAGTCAAAAGGTCTTTGCAAACTTATCTCAGAAACACGCTTAAATGATTACTGTACCGTCGGTCCACCTCCATGTGCCTTCACGTGCGTGATCAGTTGCCCCTATCCACACCCGGATGTCCCCCCAGTGCAGGGCCTTTAGTGTGCTGTAGACGAAGTTTTGTTTGTTTTGATTCTCAATCTGAACCAGACGACCTCTATAATGGTGGCAGTTGGAGCTGGCATCATTCCAGTTATGTTTACTCGTGATGAAGTACAAACAGACGTCGCCGTACGACTTCACGTACCTGTTCCGCGGCAAGGAGGCATGACAATCTCTGAGGTCGTGTTGTAGATTACCCTGTACTGGACACGGTTAATATTACATATTTCAAAATGTTATTGTAAATTTCGTCACATTTATTTGTAATGCTATATAATGTCATATACAATGACCTGTCATGGTGGTAGGTCTTGATGGCGTATAGACATGGAGCTCGTGGAGCTACCAACCATCCAAGATAAAATCACAGACATATTTAATCAATGAAATATATATATCAGTTAATTGATAGGGGGAAAATGATTAAATTTGAAGTTAAACACTTAAAGCAATCAACATCCGTCGCCAGACATATCTGTCCGTTTTGTAAAATTCATGTAAGACAATAGGTAATCATATTTGGCAGGTTTATAGATAAAATATGATTGTCTATTGTTATCTACTCATACAACAATATGTACACGTATCCCTAACTCGGCTAAAACAAACTCATCTATTGTTGTTTAATATGTATTGAATGCTACCTAGCAGTATAACACACTATCTATAGAAAATGCCCTTTGTTGCAGAGATAAAATGATTTGAGCTTATATTATATGACTATTAATAAATTGATAAATCATATCCCTTTCAAAACGCTAACGAGCCGACATTACTTACCTGTCGACAGTCCTAATATCAAGCCTAGGATATTTACAGCTGATGTTTTCAGCATATTTGTGTATACCAGGAACGAATGCTCAAAGATGCACGAACACACTGTGATGGTGAGGTTTCTAGTGGGGTGACACAATCAGACGATGACCACCCGCTAATCACCATCAGCGATAGCCAATATACACGTACATATATATGTGTACGAAATGTAGTTCACTGTACTATACATATAATTATGTATATATTGTAGTAATCTAAATATGCGTATATTACAGTTATGTAATTGTGTATATGTTATAGTTATGGAACTGTGTATGTCTTATAGAATGTAATTAAATGTTAAAGGTATTATTTTTTGTTATGGTTATTTAATTGCGTGTCTTCTATAGTGATGTAATTGTGTATATAGTTATGTAATCATAAATTATATTGATGTAATTGTGTATAGGTAATAGTTATGTAGTAATGCATGTGTTATAGTTATGTAATGGTGTGTATTTTATATTTATGTAATTGTGTATAGGTAATAAATATATAGGTGTAGTTATCTATATGTTATACATATGTTAAATATTTGTCATATTAAAACTATAATATACCAGATAGTATTATATTAAAAAAAAAATCTAATGATTTTTTTGTACTCCAATCCAGTAGATTGCTAGTAACAGCGTCTACAAGATATGCATAATTTTTATGAAATTTTGACACAAAATAAAAATATGGTTATTTTCTTCCGGGCTACAACATGCCCTACAAATCAAAATAATTCAATTTTGTTATGATTTTTATCATTTAAAAAAAAATGTACATATATTACAAGAAAAGGCTAAGTTTTGCAGTTTACATTTTGGTTTTATTTGTTTTATTAGTTCTAGTAACCTTTATGGTATTCATTCTGTTGACATTTAGTTATGTTGCAACTGTGTGGACGTTTGCAGCTTCAACCCAGATAACAACTAATTAAATAAAATGCTTGTTTTACCTTTGCTTATCTTGGCGCTGTTGGCCAGAAGATGGACAAGTCGGTATTTAAATGGAGAAGGGTCTATTGAAAAATGATTTATATCCCCATAAAAGGCATGGAAATAATTATTGAGATAAAATGGTGAAGGATCAGTATTTAAAAACAAAGTAGTAAATTAAAAAAAAAACAATTAGGAACTTGGAATAAGATTCATCAGTTTGGTTTGAATAATAAATGCTTGGTTTGTTTTGAACAAAAACAGGAATTGAAAACATATTTTGCGAGATTTCGAAAACGTCTGTTTCCTTTGTAAAGCAAAGAGTTAAATGACCAGTATCTCGACTCAAAACCGCTAACAATTCACTTAGTCACATTGTGCCGAATCAGTACAGTCAGCTGTCAAAAATCATTTCGCCAATTATCTCTGTAATACTGCATCTGTAACATAATTGTTGAAGAGGACGAAATTTTTCCAAGATAAACTCACAGATATATTTAATCAATGAAATATATATATCAGTTAATTGATAGGAAGAAAAATGATTAAATTTGATGTTAAACACTTAAAGCAATCAACATCCGTCGCCAGATATATCTGTCCGTTTTGTAAAATTCAAGTAAGACAATAGTTAATCATGTTTGGCAGGTTTATAGATAAAATATGATTGTCTATTGTTATCTACTCATACATCAATCTGTACACGTATCCCTAACTCGGCTAATACAAACTCTGTGTATATATTATAGTAATGTAATTGTGTACAGGTTATATTTATGTGATTGTGTACAGGTTATATTTATGTAATTGTGTACAGGTTATATTTATGTGATTGTGTACAGGTTATATGTATGTAATTGTGTACAGTTTATAGTAATTTAATTGGGTATATAATATAATTATGTAATAATATGTTAAAAGTAGGTAATTTTTATTATAGTTATGTCATTTTGTGTATTATATAGTGATGTGTATATAGTTATGTAATCATAAATTATATTGATGTAATTGTGTATAGGTAATAGTTATGTAGTTATGTAAGTGTTATAGTTATGTAGTTGTGTAAATGTTATTATGTTACAATATGTTAAAGGTATGTTTTTTGTTATTATAATGTTATTGTATGTATATTTTTTAGTTATGTAATCATAAATAATATGTAATTGTGTACAGGTAATTGTTATTTATTTGTGTTTATGTTAAAGTTATGTAAGTGTGAATGTTGTAGCTATGAAATTATGCATGTGTTATTGTTATGCTATTGTGTGCATTTTATAGCTACGTATTGATGTACTTATGTAACATTTATACAGAAGTGATGTCTCTGGTGGTTCAAAGCCTCTATATAGTATTATATTTGTTATGTTCAAATTATAATATACCAGATAGTAGTGTGTTAAAAAAATAATATTTTTTCAATTGTTTTCGTTGGTGTACCAACCCATAGCAGCGTATACAATTTTCATGAAATTTTGACACAAAATGAAAAATAGGGCTTTTTCCTTCCGGGCGACCACATGCACTACAAATAAAAAAAAATTGTTATGATTTTTATTTTATTTTTTAAAAATAGATATGATAAGAAAGGGATTAGTTTTGCAGTTTACATTTTGGTTATATTTGTTTTATTAGTTGAAGTAACCTTTGTTGTATTGATGCTGTTGATATTTAGTTAAGTTGCACCTGTGTTGAAGTTTATCGTGTCGCTGTTGACAAGAACCAGTGGGTATTTACATGGAGAAGGGCCTATTAAAGAATGGTTTATTTCGCCATAAAACGCATGGAAATATTTATTGAAATAATTATTGAGATAAGTAAAGCACTAATAATTAAAAATGAGGTAAATAAAAAGTTCAATAAGGAACGCGGAATAGAATTAATCAGTTTTTTAATGCTTTGAATACAAACAGGAATTGAAAACTTATTTTGCGAGCTTTCGAAAACGTCTGTTTCCTTTGTTGAGCAAAGAATGAAATGACCGTTGTCTCGAGTCTAAACCGCTGAAAACAACTGGCTAAACCACAGTATGCCGAACCAGTAAAGTCAGCTGTCAGAAATCGTTTCACCAATTTGCACTCTAATACTGGACCTAGCTGACATAATTGTTGCAGTAGACGACATTTTTAACTCTCATGACGTAGTTTCTCTCTTTACAAATACACCAGTGGACGAGGCTGCAAAGCTCATAAGGGATGGGTTAAACGTAGATAGAACCGTGAAGAAGGGAACAAACCTTCCTATTGACAACGTCATTGAGTTGTTGGAGTTTATATTCAACACAACTTGTTTGTGTTAGGGGCCCTTTTGAAAAGATAAACCTGTCTGTCCCGAGGTGACAGCCTACACGCGCTATGACGTTATGACGTCGGCGTTTGAAATAGTTCCGTTGTTTTGACTGTACAATTTTCATTGATTTTGTACTTATTTTAAGACATATTAACTGATATATTACCGTGGTTGGATTATTAAATAATAATACTGTTAACGTTGAGCTTTAAATGGATTTCCGATTTTATGTTCAGGGTTCATCACTCCTGTAGAATACTCATGATTGTAGTCATACGTGTCATGGAATACAAGCATATGAAGGTCACGGAGTATTGACACTGGCATGCTTATTTCGAGTATGGGAGGGAAAATAAATCAAACATGGTATAGTCCGTTGACAGGGAAATCTCAACTCTCGGGTAACAGTTTGGCTGTCCAGCACACGGCAAAGCCAAACTCTTACCCTCTGGTTGAGATTATAAGACTCTTTCATATGTACCGGAGGTGGATAGAGAATTCCTCCCGAGGGGATCATAAATTGGGTTAATACCCGAGGCTGTGCCGAGGTTTTAACCCCAATTATGATCTCCAAGGGAGGAATTCTCTAGCCACCTACCTTTACATATGAAAGGGTATTTTTCTCTCATATCTACCTATAAAAAAGCAAATATTTCACCCCTCAATGCTCACAGACGGTCGCCATCTTCGAGGTTTTTAAATACTTTCTCCGTGGTTTAAAAACAAAAATAGCAGTAGAAATGAATTATCCATACCCTCAAACCGCAATCCATACTCTCAAACCGCAACGTCGTTGCACGCATAAAAACAACACATTTCCATGATAACTTTATGGTTTAGTTGTTATTCAACTTTTTTATTTTCCATATGGCATTTTCTAAGCGCCATCTTTGAACATCAACGCTACTTACTGTACATCTCATTTAGTGCGCAGAGAAATATAGTTTTTAATTGAAAATAAAAAACAAATTATGTTTCTGTTGTCAAAGTTTTAATTCATGACTGATCATGTAATTAGTTAATATGAATGAAATTAAAGATACAGAGCCGGACGTAAGTTGTTGACATTGAGAGTTGCTCCCCTTAGTTTTTGTACTTCTGTGCGATGTGATTAGCCCATGTGGAAGATAGATTCAGCAAGCATGGCTACCTGCAATGTACATGGCCAGCGTAATCTTACATGACCGGATATGAGAGAATTCCTTGTCTACGGACCACACCCATGTGAGATTCTCATCTCCGGAAATCATTGACTTAGCAATGTTAACTTTCAGGTTATTCTATTAACTATTATATAAACCTATTAAGATATTCCGACCCCACAACCAATTATCATACCACATCCACCATATGTACATGCTACTCCTGGCACAGTAGCGTGCGTGAAGTTGTGAGAAGGTCCTCACCAGGCCTCAAATACACATGCTTAATATGAAAGTATGAAACAAAAAACGAATATCAGTAATGGTTCTTTTGCGATCGGTTGCGTCGTATGTCGGAGTTCCGCCCTAAATGAGGAGCTACATATTGGAATCTAGTCTCAGTAACAAAAAGAAAGGTGACTAATATTACGTGACTTTTAGAGAAGTCAAACATTAGATGACCCGCTCAGGTGTCGTATATGTAGTGTTGTCGTTATAACTCTTCAGAAGACCAACGATAGCGTAATAACTACCTGGCGTATACATCTACCTGGGCAGGCACATACATATACCCAAGTATAATTAAACACATAAATCAAACACCCTTCAGTGTATTACATAATGTTAATTAGCCTTTCGACATCACTGAAAGTATCGACTCGTACTGTTACAGGGAACGAGAGTGACCTCCCCTCTCCCGGTGGATGACGTTTAATTTGAGGCTCGATATAAGGATTATGGTG